CTGTCTAAGCGTATAAAAAAGATCTAAAACTTAGTATTTAAGCTATAGTAAAGATATATAACGTTAGTTATAATTTAGTAACGCGTTAATTAAAGGGTACACTATTATAATATAATATTATACCTAACTAATAGAATTTAATAGAACTTAAAGAGAGGAAGCTAGTTAAGTTTATTTTTAACTTAGATTCTTAATTATTTTCTTTTTACCTTAGTAGTGTTAAAGAAATAGCTAATTAACTACTTACTAACTATAATACGCCTTTAGTTAGTAAGCGCTAGGCCTTAAACTTTATTAAATAAACACTAGAGCTCTAAATACGTTTTTTTATAAGTATAACTATAAGAAGGCTTAATATAAAGATCTAGATATAATAAACATATAGTTTTACTTTATAGTAAATATAATTATAAAATATAGTATTATAAAGTCTAATATCTATAACTTTAATAAGACTAGCTTTATAATAGGCTAGATTATATCTAGAATAGTTATTATAAGCTTTAAAAGACGTTTAAATATAAAAATAGTATAGCCTAGAAATTAAGAATAGGTTATAGTTATTTAGGCTATTAGTTTATTTAGTTATAGTGTCTTATTATATATTATTATTAAAAGTAAAAATCTCCTTTTTACTTAGTATATAGAATTTAGTTTTTTACCTAACTAGGTTACTATAATATCTAAAAATAAATAAATAATAAATAAAAAAGGCCTAAATTAGCTTTAGTACTTTAATTAATATTTAAAGTTATATATAAAAAAGAAATATTACTTTTTTATTATTAATAGGTATAAAAGTTATTATTCTATAGACTTTAAGCTATATTATAAGGAAAATAATATTATTACTTTTTATATACTACCTTATTTATTTTATTTACTTTAGCCCTTAAATATTAGGTGTTTTAGGCCTTTAAAGCTAGCGTATAGTTAAGAAATTAAGGATAAGATATAATAAGGTAATACTTATATTATAAAGGATAACTTTTTTTTAGTATTTTATAACGCCTTTAAGTAAGCTCTTATAAAAGTAAATATTTAAGGAGGCTTTAGAGGGGTAAGACTTATCCCTCTAAGTCTAGAAAGTGTGCTATTAAAGCTAGATATTAAGTTATACACTTTAATACCTCTAGGATCTCTTCTAATAACACTACTAGCTTAGACTTCCTAAATATTATATAACATAATAGAGATATCTTCTTAAGGAACTCTTATTAAGGATTACTTTATTAATTATCTAGATAGCTCCTTAATATATAGATTAATAGCTACTAAGTATATTCTTAAAGGAGCGTTAGGAATTATATATAAGAATACTTTATTAAAGGCTAAAGTTAAAACCCTTTATAAGGAGAATAACCTACTTAACTAATATAAAAAAGTAAAAAAAACTTATTTAAAGTAAGGAGGAAGTCTTAGTATAGCTAATATATAGGATATTTAGTTATAAAGAGAGGTAATAACCTAAATTAAGAAGGAAACGTATTAGAGTAGTAGTTATAAATTAAGGATAAAAACAGGTAAACAGTAGTATAGCACCTATAGGAACGCTAGATATAATATATAAACGTACTAGTTTAATAAAGAAATATCTAAAGAATAGGATTCTAAGTAGTTTAAATTAATTTTATTATTTTATAATTACTTTTTAGTTATATTTATAAGGTAGCTATAATTAGGTAGCGCGCTTACTTATCTAGTGCGCTTACTTATTATATATGTTATACCTATTATAATCTAATATAATAACTAATAGATAATTAGATTAGTTAAAAAAGAGCTTATTTAATTATAGACGTAACTATAGTATATTAATATTTACTATTATTAGCTATAGCAGGAGATTACTAAAGGATAAATTAATATTATCTATACGCTATTAGCTAAGTTAATAGTAAATAGATTAATAAAGGCCTTACTATAGTAAAAGTAGTAATTATTTATTTAATAACTAGGACTATTTAACTAAAGTAAATAGATATAAAAAAGCTATAAAGCTAAATTACATAATAAAGAAGAGTAATTAACAAAAAGTAATTAATAAAAGGTAATTAATAAGGTAATTAATAATACTATTAGAGGCTAGGCATAACAGAGGAATAGGCTTTAGTAGGTATAGTTATAACTAGGATAGTTAACATATAAGGCTGTATTTACTAGATAAGTAAGGCTACTTTCCTCTATAATATTATTAAGAATACTATAAATAAATACTAAAAAGTTTATACTATAATACCTCTATAATAAAGAGGATTCTATAGTTATAAATTATATAGTTAGATTTACCTTAATTAGGGCTATAAATTTATTAAAAGGCTAACTAGAAAAGGTTAAATAATATAATCTAAAGTAGTAAAACCTCTATTTACTAGGGGACTAGCTATATTAGTAAATATATTTAAGGAGAATAGTAATTTTAAGGTAATTAAACCTTATACTTAGTAATCTATATTTAATAAAATAAAGGGATTAGCTTACTAAGTAAATTAATACCTACCTTTACTATATTTTATACTATTATAGCTCTAGGTAATTTACTATATTTTACGCTATCTATAGCTCTAAGCAGATATCTAATAACTAACTAATTATAAAGTTAGTAGGCTTTATAGACGTTACTATAATTAAGTCTTTCTACCTCTACCTAGGATTAAACCTAAGAGCTTTAATATAAGTTACTATTTTATATTACGTTATTAAGTAGTAGGTAATACTACTTAACTATACGCACTTTAGTTTTAGTTAGTTACCTAGGTAACTAAATAGGTAGATAGAGGTAATTTATAGTTATAGTAACTGTTATAATAGATTATAACTATAGATATTATTAATTAAGGGCTAGATTAACAGCTCTAAATAGCCTTAATCTAAGAGGGCGTGTTAAAGTAGGCTAATTAGCTAGAAATACACAGTCGCTTGTAGGGCAATTAGCTGCAAATACACTAGTTATTTCCTAGATAGATTTCTCCACTTAAATCAAGAGAAAATAATAATCCAGGCATTTACCCCTTTCCAAAGGGCCAATTAGCAATAGCCGCGTAACATAGTAGTAGATACACATATAACAGAGCAATCAATCAATCCAGGGTATCGCTGCCAATTACGCGCTTCAACACCATAGCCAAATATCTTACAAAAGGCATAAGTAATAAGGTTTAGGATATAGCTAAAGTAATAGAGGCGCTACTCCTTATAGTCCTACTTATCTATTAATAGGTTAATAAGGGGATATAGATACTATATATAGGTGTTATTATTAGTTATATTATTATAAATAATTAAACCTAGCTTTCTAGTAATACCCTAGTTATTATAGACCTTATAGATAGTAGTAGTAAGATTCTTACTATTATAGGCACTAATCTGCTCCCTTAGAGTAAGAAGATATTTCTAACGGTGCCCTTAGGGGTTAAGGAAGTATAAGGTAATTACTATAATAGCCTTATTATTAGGTAAAGTCTAGAGGTTAAAGTAGATATAAATCTTAGAGATAGATTAATTTAGCTGCTGCTAGATTATCCTTTTGCCTTATTAATATAGGCAATAGATATACTGCCTTATCTAATTTCTTCCTTATAATACCTAAGAGAATAATATACTATTATGTTACTAGAGTAGGCTCTTCAAGTAGAGGTCCTTAAAGATATTAATAGGTATATTTCTAGACATAATAAAAGTAGCAGTAAGGTTCTAAATAGCCTTAACCTTAGTAGTAAGGACTGTGCCATAGGAGACTTTTAGTTACTTATGCTAGGGAGAAGTAGTGTTATAGTTACTATTATTATTAATAGTAACAGAGGCCTTCTTTGTAATCCTATATAACTTTATAAGGTGCTCTAAAGCAGAGGTTGTTAAGGCAATAGAGAATATCTCTATATATCCCTTCTAGTTATAGATCCTATAGCACTAGAAGGATGACCTAGTATATAGATTAGGTTAACTATAACTATAGATCTTAACAAGAAAAACACTATAGTTTCTAATCTATAATAATCTTCTTTTACCTTTCTTTTTTACTAGCTAATACTTAGGGACAAAGATCCTGTTATGCTAACAGATAACAGGAAGATTATTAAGGGCAGGATAAGGTAGGAGAGTAACTAAAGATATATTCCTTACTTAGGTATATATAGTGTCTTAGGATTATCGGAGGGCAAGGGTATTTATTACTAGTAAAGTTATTATAAATAGCTTTAAGAAAAAGAAATAAATAGAGGTATAAAGAGGGAGTAAATAAATAAAAGGTCTAATAGGGGGGAGGGTAAGTATAAGGGGTTATAACTTATAGCAGAGTATTTACTATATATCTACATAAACACTAGGAATAATATTACTAGTAGGGATATAGTGTAGGTATTTAGCTTTAGAATAAATATATAGCAGAGGAATATATAGATAATCCGACTCTACATAAGTCAACTAACTAACCTAACTTTGGCCTTAAGGTTAGTTGGTTGAAGTGAAGCTATTCACAAAGTTGACGGGTTGGTTGACGAAGTTGGTTGATGGGGTTGATCTGAGTGAAGCGCTGATATGAGCTACATCAAAAGCTTCATTCCCCTCTTCTTAAACATTCATCCAATCAGTTTTGTAGGTTGTATAATTCCTTGGAACCTTGCGAGGCAAAGTCTAAGGTACCCCGCGCAGGTCGCCCCATTGGGTAGCTTCAGAAGCTTCCGAGGCAAACAGCCTCACCTTATCTGTCTCATCATTAGAGCATACTCAGTGTCCCATGCCATCGAAGATTGGTTTATACAGGCCATCTGAATTTTGTTACTCCACGAGGCCGGGATGTGACACTGATGCCGAAGTGCGGACAGAAGATGAAATCAACTCAAAATCATGAGCTCAAACTTTGCCAGGCCTGGCGCCAGAACGCGCAATTCATCTTTCCGCTTTCAAGGCTTTGGGTGCATATCGTAATTCTTTAAATCTTGAACGCCAGTCTTTTTGTTCCTCTACAGTCAAGTCTACAAAGCCCCGAGTACATTTTCAGAATGAAGTCAGTCACCAGCTTTTTGGCATTGTTTGCCGCATTGAGTTGTGCCCTCGGGGACAAGCCACCCTCGCCGAGAAGCATGTCGACAAAGGAATTTCGACGGGCGTTCTTGGATGCTGGCATCATTCCAGATGTCATGGGTTCTTTCAATCCCGCGGTGTCTTTTTATGCAGGCTACAAGTCCAGCGACGGCAACAAAACTCTCATGATGCCAGGTTCCATGCTCCAATTGATGGAGACTAAGCTTCCGTTCGAGTTCAGCGTTGAAAACATTATGAATGCACAGAACGTCACTCGGAATACCCGATACATTCTTTGTATGGTAAATAACTTCGTCGCGAGAAATCAACGTAAGATGCAATCGCTGATGGGAGCTTGCAGATTGGGCCCGACTCACCAACACGCGAGGAACCAACCGAGCGGAACGTGAGGTACTATCTCGCCGGTAACTTTACGGTGGAACAAACGAAATCTGAGATTCTCTCATCGGCATTGATTATGCACAACTCTACACCCGCTTTCAACGACTACATGGTACCAGACCCCAAATCAGGAAGCGGTATGCACAGATACGTGTACCTACTCTACGTTCAGCCCGAGAAGATGAATAAGATGGGGTTCGAGGCGATGGGTGTCGACATGAAGGAACGAAAGAAATTCAGCGTATGGGGCAATCCGAAGTCATTCAAGAAGACAGATTCTAAACTGATTCTCTCAGATTTCCCAACTCCGAAAACAGGCCGGTTTGGACCGGCCGATCGGGGGCACTTTCTTCACAGTGGACATGGCCAAGAACAGCGATGGAGGTGATGGCGGCAATAATGGCGCAGGTGGTGGAAACGGAGGAAGCACTGCCTCTATTGCGACTGTTGGCTCTATCTTCATGTTCATCACGTTGCTGACCACCATGTTTGTGTGGATGTAATCGGCTAGTAAACAAAACAGCGTGTTTGTCGGCGCATCTTAAAGCAGAACGCATGGGATTGTGATATCATTTATCGTCAAAAACGAGGAAGTTTGCTTCCATATGGTTTGGGGTACATTATCAGGATACGCTTTGTTGATTTTATTGGATATTGTACTGGTTTCCATTGAGATGCAGTGACTAGTTTGAATGAGAATGTTATCTTACCAAATCATGCCAAATACATGTCGTACTTTCGGATTCTCTGTCGTCCTATGCCGATGACTGGTTTCTTGAACCCAAGGTCTCTGCAGCAAGCCCCTTTTTGTTCATTTAGCATCGTCGGTTGATAGGAAGGAATGGCTGGGCATACAGGGCCTGAAGCTCATTGGTAGACTTTTGCATAACCTGTGCGCCTTGAAAGAGCAATACCAACCAATATATCGACCTGATTTACACCTATCACCGATTGTCTTGTCAACCAAAAGCCATCGGTTATCGAAATGGTATCAATCTCTCAGATGAGTTTCAGACTTTGTCACAGCTTTTCCCGATGGAAATTCAGCAAAATTAGAAGCCACAATGACTGTCTCCCCTGCCATTGATGACTTGGTGATAACCTCGTATCTAGTTGGATTATAATATTTCCGCCTACTCTCCAATCCAACTACGATATCGGAGAAACTAGTGATTTTGGAAAAAAGTAAAGTCAACCGCTCAGATTTCATAGGACTGAGAACTTGACAGTGATAACTTTGAGGTATTTTAGGCAGTCTTTCATCGACTAGTTAAGCAAACTCATACAACGACTGCTTATGTCAGCAGGGCCTCCATGTTCCTGACCGAGAATTCCGGCCCACCGCCTTTCCTCCTAGTCACCACGCGCGCTAACCGTCAACCTGAGTTCTTTCTCAGACTTCGTCTTGTTAGCTCTCAACTGTCACGCTTGCAGTTATTCGTCATACAGTACCTTGAGCGATTGCCTCCATTCGTTGACTCGGAGATTATGTCAGCTTTACCTAGGACATGGCGCGACAACGCGTACCTTGTCATCTCAAGCATCCAGCTTTCAGCAATTCTGCGTGAGTCCATGATCTTTCGAACATCGTTCAAAATCATTGCTACCTCTTCGATTTGCACTGCAAAGCTTTAATTGCACGGCCTTTGAGTTGAGCGAATGCCAATTGGCCCGCTGATGCTGTACCTAGTTGCCAAGTGGAATAACTTCGGTAGTTATTCCCATAATCCATCTCATCATTCTCACTATGTCCTGTGGGAGCACAAACTAACAAAATCCCCACTAGTGGTTGATCTGGTCCCTTTTTACCCGTCCAGCCTCTACGCAGACCCGTCGTCGCCCCTGCACTTCTTGCAGCTGCTCCGCGACTTCTACATCCAGACCTACAATGACCCCTATTTCGTCACGCCGCACGACGGCCTTCCCTCATGGTTCAAGCTGTTCACCTATATCGAGATCTTCTACCAGCTTCCCATGGCCATCTGGATGGTCTACGGGTTCTCTAGGCGGACAGGTACGACGCCCGGCTTCGAGCTCGCCGTCCTTGTCTTCGCCGTCGAGTGCGCCTTGACGACGCTGACCTGCATCTACGACACCCTTCACTGGGATCCGGCTGTGTATAGCCAAGCCCAGAAGAACGTCTTCATCTTTAACTTATATGGCCCTTGGGTCGTAATTCGTAAGTTCACATCCTCATCGAAGAGCCCATATCAGCACTGACAAGCGTAGCGGCACTGATGGGGGTAGACATGTGCCTGCGCATTATGAGAAGGGTGCAAGTCACAGACAAGGCGAAGTCGCAGTGAAAAGCGGATGTGTGTTTGATTCCAAGCAGCCGTGGTTCCATTGAGGATATCATGTCATCCTGCTCGGTCAGACAGCATGCCCGGTTCCAGTCAACCTGTCCCAAACTCCTTTCCAGTCCACATCGTACATTGTACAGTACAAGGCCATATCCCAGCTAAATTTTCGTTCCCAAGATGAACTCCGAGCGTTCGTTACAAAGGTCATTCAGAAAGGCGGCGTCAAATATACATGAATCGAAAACAATCATACAAATCCCCGCCTCGTGCGAGGCCTGTTCTAGTCCATCCGCTTGGCGGTCTTGGAGTATCCCCAACCATTACCGACACCGTTGAGGCCGTAGCCCAGCGGGGTAGCGCCGCCCAGACCCCTTCCCCGCAGCCTCTTGGGTAGCACGACGCCGAAGAAGTACGTCGCCGCGACGAGCACGCCGGCCATGAAGGACGTGGCGATATAGAAGATGGTGCTCGCGTAAATGTGGCCGCCCATGCCCTGCCACTCGACGTGGCCCTCCGACTTGGGCAGGTTTGGCGTGGGGAACCATCTCACAGAAAGCCGAAGGGGCAGCGGATCTCCAATGACCAGCCTCTGCGTGTAGATACCATCCATGTGGCTCAGCGGGCTTGTGCTGTACGCTGTGCCGGAGTCAAGAACGCCCGAGTCGTGCGGCCGCAGGTGGTGCTTGGGCATGCTGTGCAGCAGCACGTTCATGTGGGTGCTCACGTGTAGGTGGCTCCGCTGGAGGGTGCCGGCGAGGGCGAAGACAAGGGGGATGTGCTCCTGCTGGTACGGCTTCTCGCCGACGACCTCGATGGTGGGGGCGGGACGGGCCGGCAGGCGGCAGGCAAGGGGCGCGTCGTTGTGGATGAAGAACTCGAGCAGGTGGAAGAAGGGGTCCGAGACCATGGGGATGGTACAGTTCAACTCGCCCTCGTGGCCGTAGCGGAACTCGAGGGGCTTATTCGTCTCTTCGCATACGGGGAAGGGGATCCACTCGATTTCGTGGTTGGAGTTTTCGATGTGTTCGCCCGTTTCGCTGCAGGGAGGAGAGAGATGTGTTAGCTAGAGGCTGAGCCGATGGATGGGATAAAGTAGGTGCGAGGCCAATGACATCCCGCAAGCCGGCAAAGGCATCGAGCTATACTCACGAGCTGCGGTTCATGCACTCGACGTGGATGGGTGCGCCGTAGTGGTACGAAGGGAGGCCATCCTCAGGATGCGCAGCGACGAACTGGACCATGCAGCAGACAGCAAGGCCCAGCAGTACTTGCGCAAAGGACGCCATGATGCGGGCGGTATGCGTATTTTCGACTTCGTCTCTCGCAAGCAGCCGCAGCAGCAGGGACCACCACTGTGATGGAAAATGAAAAAGGGTCTTCTCAGGTCGACCGGGGCATTGCCTTGAATTGGAAAGGGACGCGCACGACGGAATGCGATCCCGGGACCATCTTTCCCCAGAGTTAGGCTTTGCAGGATGGGCATTCGAAAATAACAGCTGGCGCCGAGGCCCCCCTGCGCTCCGTCCGATCCCGATAAGGGATAAAGGTGGCCCCACCTCGTCGATGTCACGTGTAGCTTTGATACGGATATCGACTTTGGTTTCAACTCTTCACAACGTTAGGCCAGGTTGTTCAGTCTGGACGAGATGGACTTATTCGATTTGATCTACTCTATAACGAACTCTTTGTCCCATTCCTCACGTATGATACTCAGGCTCTTGCTCTGCTGTGTGGTTGCGAGCAAGCATTTGTTGAAAGGCCGGGCAGGCCTCGTCAGAGGCGTTGTTCGCCATGTTAAACATCATTTTAATGAACACCAGATTTTCCAAGGACCATAATGGCCATAGAATGAGGGCGTACTTACATAGAAGCAGGGTTTTCAATATAGAAGACTGGTAACGACCGCGGCGTCGATGCATTGTCACTGAATGCCAATCATGCTACTCGATGCCATTGCTGGTTGATATCGTCTTTCGGAATGTATCCTCGACACGTATTTGCATACTAGCGCATGATTAATGCCTGGGCCATCAGACACCGCCAGAAATCCATCTTTGATAGCTGAAAACATATATTTGGAACATTCATGCCTCTCCCATTCACGCTATATCTCCAAACTTTCACACTCGACATCATTGTCCACCACTTCTCTCAGGTAACCCGATCCTGCCACGTTCAGTCTAACTTCTGAAGCCTCCTGCAGTCGACCTAGTTTACTCAGCACCTCGATAAGTTCCAGTTGAACTTCTACTGCCCGAGGACGGTATCCAGCAAAACTTCCATGCTTTTCGACCAGGTAGTTAAGCATACGGATGCATTCTTCTGAATAAAAAATGCACGAGTCAAAATTGTCGGCGTCCTCATGGAATTGAGCCAAGTACCGTAGCATGTAAGCAACGTCATTGAGATACTCTGGATCCCAATCATGCCAGTGACATCCGTTTTTGGTCTGTATACGACGTATGTAGCGTTCGCATGAGTGCTCAAAGCCATCATAGCTCAACCACTCCATAGCACGTATGCGATACCATTCGACCGTCATGGCTTCGTATAAATTTTCCCCGAATAAACCAACAGCCTCGTCCCAGAGATCGCTGTAGATTTCGAGAACATTTTCAATGTCTGAGATTGAAATTTCATGGCTGTTCCCGCTCACGAGTGCAACTTGCCGTGCATACAGACTTTTCAAGTCATCAGAACCGCGGGTGGCTATGAAACAGTCCGCAGTCACGTCGCATAGTTGCTCCAGTGAGTGCGAGAACTGGGCTAGGGACTCGAGAAATATTGCGTGCGTGGTCTTCGCCATCGCTGTAATAGGCATTCCGGGCTTTTTGGCATTCAGCATTTGGGAAATGTGATGCAGATAAACCTGCAGCTCTTTGTTCCGCTCATAGGCGAATAGGTTCCACGGAACGTCTAAAAGCAACAGTCGGACGATCGTGCAACTTTCACTGTCGATGAGCATTTCAACCGTACGAAACGCCTCGCGAATGACAGCGCCATACTGTTGGAAATCTTCCACTTTCAGAAGTTCGTGGGCTAGTCGGAACTGACCCAGTAGATTTTGGTTCTCAGATGGGAATTCGTCGAACTTTGAGCAATTTCTCCAGACGGGGCATTGCCGCGCGCTCCCGTGGATGAGGTCACTGAGACTAACATAGAGCTCTTCCGTCCACCGTTGGCATTGGTTGCTGAATAGTATCAAGGTTGGAAGCGATGGATCCTGGTGGGCCTTTCGGTCTAAGCGTGAACCGTGGCAAGTATTATAGCCATACCCGGAAGAGCTCCGTGTCTGGTTCGTCAAACCTATCATACGTCGTCTTGTCGGCCGTTTGCAAGTAGGCTTTCCGCAACGAGTTTCCAAAAGTTCACCGTTGATGTGGCTCTGCTGGCGGCCTTTGGTGTTGTACTTTCTCCAGTTCCATCTCAAGAACTGTCGCTATTAGTATACAGTTAGTATGCTCCAGGGAGGTAGGGTCACGTGATATTCACGTAACACACCGCCTCCCTTAGAAGTATCTACCATCCCCCTGTAACAGGGGTATACCACCACTAAGTGCTAGAAGTCTAAATTCACTTTATAATAATAATAATAACTAATTCCTATAGTTATAATCTATAAAGTAATATAGGATATCCCTCTTTTGTAATTAACTAACACTAATTAGTATGTAATTAATTATAAGATTACTACTAATAATAAATTAGTAAGGTTTTTTTTATATAAAGTAGAGAGGATTAACTAGCCTATTAGTAAATAGTCCTCTATAAAATTAACCTTTATTATTATTATTACTATTATAATTTTTTTTACTTCCTTACTTTATTTTAACTAAGCTTTTATTAATAATAAGTAAAAAAGGGAAAAACAAAGAGCTACTACTAGTAATAGTAGGGCTATTAAATTAACTAGTAATAGATAACTATTCTTTATACCTATTATTATTATTATTATACTTCTTATAACCTCTCTCCCTTTTACTAGTATTTATTTACTATATTAACTTATTAATATAAGGTAACTATATTAACTTTAACCTGACTAAAATAGACCCCTAAAAGGTTAGATTATATATAATATATATAATTACTATATAGTTAGATAGTAACCTTTATAGCTATTATCTTTTTAGCGCTTTCTAATTAGACTTTATAGATTAGACTACTACTACTTTTAACGCTATAGGTACTAAAGCACTATTAATATTTTATAACTACCTTATTAATAATAAAGTTTTTATTAATCTAGTAAAAAGAAGGATTACACCTAAATTAGTAGACCTTCTTAATCCTAATTTCTATATATAGACTAAAAAGGATATTACTTTTACTTACTATAAGCGTCCTATCTTTAACTTATAAATAAAGAACCCTAAATTTATTAATAATATTACTAGTTAGTATATTTTACTTAAAGAAAAGTTAATAATTAAATAAGCCTTATTTACTGCTTTTTTAATATTATTATAAATAATAGCTAATACTACTTTATAAAGGTAGCTAACCTTATTTACCTTAACTTATCTACTAACAGTAGATTATTACTAGCTAAAGTAGGAGTAAAATAGCCTAACCTTACTCTTATAATAAAATAAAATCTACTAGATACTTACTAATCTAAACCTAGTACTTAGAGGTAATATAGGCACTTTATTTATTAATACCTTATTATATAACCTAAGAACCCCTTACCTTTATTACCTTTATTATAACTAGTATAGTAAGTAATTAAGTAGTTAGCTTATTATAATAAATAAGGTAAATCCTTAGTAAGATATACTATTTAATTTATTAAATAACCTTAAGCTTACTACTAACCTCTTACCTTAGGGCACTATATAGAGATTTTAATTATAAGGCTATAATAAGTTATAACGTTAGCTACTATATAGATCTAAATTTATACTTATCTCTTCCTCCTAACTATACCCCTATTAACTAACTAATCTTATAAAGCTACTAATAAATAAAACTAAGTATAGTAGTAAGTTATATAATATTCTTAATCTTAAGTTAAGTATTTTTTAAGATAACTATAGTAAGGTTAGGATTAAGTAATACTAACTTAGTCCTACTTTTTTTATTATATTAAAAGGTAAGGTATTTTTATTTTATATTAACTATATCTATAGTAATAGTATTTAAGATTTTAATAAGATAGTTAACTAAATTTATAACTACTTTAAGATATAAGAATAAATATAGACCTACCTATTTAAATAGTAAGAAATAACACTACCTTAAGTTATATATAATAATCTTATAATAACTAAGATCTAAGCCCTTAAGGAGCTTATTATAAAGCTTACCTTTATCTAATAGGCTCTCCTTTTATTATACTAAAATAATAAAGTACTAAGAAATTAGCTACTAAATACCTACTCTAGAGTTCCTAAGTGTAACCTTTACTTATATACTTTAGTTATAATATTAAAAGGAGTATATAGTTAATTATAATTATTAATTAGTACTACTATAAGATATTCTTACTATAGCTAGTACTTTATTAAATCTTTACTCTTATTACTTAATAATTAATATTAAGTAGACTATACCTACTAAGGCTAAGGCTATAATTAATAGTTTAGTAGTAACTATAGTAGTAGTAGTAACTATTACTATAATAATAATAATAGTAGTAATAGTAGTAACTATAATAGTAAGAAATACTATATTTACTATAAGCCTAGCTACTAGTTAATAAAACACACTACTAATAAAAGATATAAAGCGTACTAGTAATTTAAAGGTAATTAATATATAAAGGATATCTTAGCTACTATATATAGCGCCTTCCTTACTACTTATAAAGGCATAACACTATAAAAAAAAAAAGTAAAGATAATAAGAATAATAAAGATCTTTAATAGTATCTTTAAGGGGCCTACTTTATTATTAGTAGTAATAAAGAATAAGATAACAGTATATTTTATACTTTAACTACGTTTTTTAGTAGCACTAAAGTAAATAGTAATATACTTACTACTAACCTTACTAACTAAGCTATCTATTACTAATTAATAAAAATTAACCCTAATAGTACCTCTACTAAGTCACCTAGTACCTTTATACTAGATTATTACTTATTAGCTACCTTTTAAGGTATTTTACTAGATATAGGCATAGTAAGTTATTTAACTATAGGCTACTTATAAGCTATTACATTATAGTAAATTTAACTATCTATAAATATTAACACTATAGCTATAAGTAAAGTAAAGATTAGATTTAGTAATAGTAATACTATTACTTTATAAGGTATTATTATAGTAGAGACTTCTTTTAGGTATATTACTTTTTATATAATACCTACTAATATACCTTTCTTACTTTACTTAGCTAATATAGATTAGCTATTAATTTAATTCAATAACTTTATAAATACTCTTTAATAAGGTAAACTTATAGTGCTAGTTATATAAAAATAGGGCTACCTATAGATACTACTTAGCCTGCCTAAGTAAAGCCTTATAAGTTATTACCTAACTAACGTTAAGCTATGCTACCTTTATTAATAGTTTAGCTATTTATTAATTTACTAGCTATATAAGATCCTTTATAAGGCTAGCTATAAGATTAAAATAAAAGTAATTAAACACTTAATAAGAAATTATTATTAATATAATATACCTTAATAGTAACCTTATACTTTATATAGTTAATACTACTACTACCTTTAATATAGCCTACTTCTTTTATAATATTTTAGTAAAAACTATATAGGAGGCACTTTACTACTACTAGATTAATATTTACTAAGGTCCTCTAGATTAAGTTATTACTAATATAGGCTAGAACTTTATCTTAACTAAATTTTTATATAAGGCCTATATAATAGGCGTTAAAGTTAAGATTATCCTTATTAAAGCCTATTATAGTATTAAAAAGGTTAAAAGATACTACACTATACTCTAACAGGCGTATAAAATAATCTATAAGGAGTGCCTATCTATGAACTATAAGTCTACACTTTAAAGCGCTACTAAGGTAGTTAATAATACTACTAGCCTAAATAGCCTTATGCCTACCTTATTAGTATTTAGTGCTTACTTTTATATAACTACTAACTTTACCTTTTTACTTAAGATAATTTAATATATAACTACTATTTATAATATAACTAAAGATCTTTATAAATATAATATAATATAGTAAATTAATAAGGCTCTTACTACTTATAATAGCCTAGATACCTTTATAATAAAGGATCTGCCTTTAGGTAGTAATGTCTACGTCTAGTGTAAGAAAAGAGGTTAGTCTAGCCTATATAAGTTACTTACTACTTAAAGTAAAGACTTTACTATTAATATTAATAGCCTTTATGTTTTTTAATCTATATTAGTTAAGCTATATTATATAGTAAATAATAAAGAAAGAGGCTTAACTAAGTAACGCCTTTAATTTATTCTAAATAATAATAATAGTTATAGTAATAAACCTACTAAAAATACTATTATTATTATAACTAACTTAAGGTAGTAGCTATATACTAATAATCCTATTATTATATAACCTTAATTAGTAAATAGGTACGTTAGTTATTATAGACGTATATATTAGACTATTAATTATTAAATTATAAGGATTATAATAGTTACTTAATTAATTATATAATATGTTATATGTATCTAGTTAAGATCCTATAGGAGCAGGGAACTCCCCCTATTTCTTAGTTAGGAAATCCTAGAGAAATCCTAGCTATATGATTAGTGGATTTACCCTAAAAGTGGGGCCTTTTTACTGCCTATTCCCTAACAATTCGCCGTAGGGCAACTATGTATTCGCCGGTTAATTCACGTGTAATTCCGCCACATTTAACACCTTATACTACCTTCCTCTTAGTAAAGGAAGAAGCCTATTAAGCACTTATAATCTAGCTATATAAAAAAAAGGTTATTATAGCGCCTAGTAAGCTATTTAAGTAATTAGTAGCTACTAAGATTAATAGCCTTATTATATAAGGCGTCTTTAAATTTACTATAATTAACTAACTCTAGCTATATAAGTAAATTTTTAAATTATAAATTATAAATAAGGTAAAAGGCACTAATAAGAAGCCTTATAAGAAATTATAACTTATTATTTAAGGCTATACTAATAATAGTAAAGAGGCTATTCTTACTTAATTACTTACTATTTAGTAAGCTAGCTAATAGCTTATCCTTACGCTAGCCTCTTTTTTTTTATTAATAGTAAAGTTATATAGCTATATAATATTATATAGGCCTATATTTAATTTACTTCCTACCTTAACTATACTATTTATACTAAACTCCTAGCCTAAATCTATTATAAGTACCTTAATAATACTATTATAAAGGTTATTAAGCCTCTATATAGGATTACTAAGGTAGGTACGTACTAGTAGGCTACTTATAACTATTACTATAAGGAGAATCTTTAGATAGTCTTTACTATATATAACCTCTACCTTCTCTTATTATCTAATAAAAATCTATACTTTATACTTATTAGTATATAAATAGATAACACTATTAGCCTAATAGACCTTCTGTTTTCTAACTAAGAGAATAAGGAACTAACTAAGGTAAAATTTACTATAAGGGATAAGTTATTTCTTATTATTAATTAACTACTTACCTTTAACAGTAGGATTATTATAGTTATATTTACTATAGACACTTCTATTATACTTAGCTAGAAAAAGTAAAAAGTAAAGCTATAATTAATTAATATAAAGTTACCTATAGCCTACTAAGACTTTATCTAATAATAAGTATAAAGAGTATATATTACCTCTATTTACTAACCTAAAGTATACTATAACTTTTCTATTATAGCCTAATATAAGAAGCTAGATAATAAGGTAATTAAAGACCTTAACTATTAACTATAATAGTAAATAAACTTACTTAACTATAGTCTATAATTTATTTCTTTAAATCTTATATTAGCTAAGCTATTTATATTTATAAATAAATTACTTACTAATATTTATAATATAACTTTATAGTTAGGATTTATTATTTTTCTTATAAATAAAAAAGTTAATAATAACTAAGCTAAATTTTCTTTTTATAGTAACGTCTTTTATTTCTTATTTACTAAGTCTAAATAAGTTATATAAAGCGTCCTTATATCTAAAGTGTATAAAATAGTTATAGGTATTAATATAGCCTACACTATATCTAAAACTATTATAATAGTTACTTAGAAGCTTAATATCTTATTAATCTTAACTATTACTTATATAGACTTATATTTACTTTATAAATATTTAGTTAAGCTAGGAACTACTAAAGAGAAGCGTCTTATAATTAATATTATATTATTAAGATAGTCCTATAAGTAATATAAGCTTTATAAGGTCTAATAGATTACTAGTACTAATAACTTAGCTAATAGGTTTATAAAGGTATTTCTAAACTAAGCACTTAAAGGCCTAGTTATAAATAATAAAGCTAAGATATATATAAAAGGTTAGGTTATATAGGTATAATAGATTATAAAAGGTATATAGTAAAAAATAGATTATAAGTTATATAACTAACTAGACTATAATAGTAGTAAGTAAATCTATTTAATATAAGAATATACCTCTAATAGCTATAGCTAAGAAGAAATACCTCTAGATAAGATAGTGTAAGTCTATATAGTTTATAAGGAATAAAGAATATAAGAATATATAGTATATAACTATAAGAAGTGTAATACTTTAGGAGTTTTACTTTTATAACGTTTTTAGGCTTTTTAAAGCTAATCTAGATAGCTTTAGGCACTAGTAACTTTTACTATAATAAAAAGTTACTAGTGTTAGTATATAGTTAGTATACTCTAGGGAGGTAAGGTTATATAATATTTATATAACATACTGCCTCCCTTAGTAGTATCTACTATCCCCCTGTAATAGGGGTATACTACTACTAGGTGCTAGAAGTCTAGATTTACTTTATAATAGAAATAATAACTAATTCTTATAGTTATAATCTACAAAGTGATACGGGATATCCCTCTTCTGTGATTAACTAACAGTCGCTTATACATTCTCTCGCTTTTGATTCAATGTTAGTAAACCTTTATGCCCGACACTCGGTGTATTTAGAGAGACTTACGTAGCTGAGAAAGAGTGTTTCGATGACATTGTGCTTATAAGGTCCTTGAGTGGCAAGTTCTTGTCTAGATATAGGTTGCGGATGGTCTCCTTCTTTGACTCCCAGTCTTCTTGGCTTTCTGGACGCTGCATTGGAGCTTGGTTTCTGTCGGCCGGCATACTGACGAGAGACTTCGGAACAGGTGGTGCAAACGAAGTTGGTGCTGGGCGGAAGGCAAGGTCCTGTAGGAGGAGCATTGCAGCCCGGGGCGAGATGTTCGACTCAACATTGTCGCTGGGTCGTCAGAGAGTGTCGACATGTTCCAGTTGCCCTCGAACATACCGACGGTCTCCGGCATCAGGCTGAAGTCCAAAGTGATGCGTGGGTATGCAACCGAATACACGGACGAACCAAAAGTGGTTGAGAAGAACGACTGAATTAGGTGTTCTGGTCCAAGGAAGTAATATAATGTTTAGATTAACATGTTAGATGATCTGAATTTGATGCCAAAGGAATTCCGTGCCATCATATACTCTCCGCATTGTGGTAAGCCAAACGGTTCGCCATCACCTACACCATGAACTTGCGATCGGGCTACGGCTGTTGTAAGCCCAACTGATGACAAACAAGGCAACCGGGCCCATTTGTCCGCCCTGGCCTGCGAGGTCTTTTTAGACTCTTGGCCGACACCAATTGGTCGGCACGCGTTGGACGCCACGTTCTATACGGTGGTGCGTACATACCAAGGCGGCCAACAAAGCCCGGCACTTCCCTCTTTTTCTCTACGAGTAAAAGTTCCTCGCGTTCATACCCAATGTGGCGTTGAAGATGTTAAAAGTGAGGCTTTAGTTATTAAGTCATGCCACATACGTGCATATCCAGTCCCGAAGGTCTTTTTAGGGCCCCCGGTTGAAAGATAGTTATCCTCGGTGTAAGCAGTCAATTTGTAGAACGTCAACTATCCGAAACGATTTGCCTCACAACGGTCCGTTGGAAGGACCTCTCATCCAGTCTCGATCTGGCTGACACGTCATTCATTCTCATAACTTCACTTCCGCACAACCCCTGAAGCAACAATGCATGCATAACCCATTTCCCATCCCTTTCCCCCATACTTGTCCTCCAAATGCTGTCCAATCAGGGCCTTCACCTCCTCCAGCCCATGTGCCGCCCTCAACTCCTCGCTCCACTCGATGTTCAACAGGTACGCCGTGGCCGGCCCAAAGATGTCCAGCCAGTGCTTTGCGTTCCTGATTGGCATCGTCCCGCGCTCGACACGCACCTCCACGGCACAGAACCCGTTCTCCAAAAGGTACGTCCGCACCCACGCCTCGTCGTACCACCGCCCGACCTTGTGGACCTGGGACCAGTTCTTCTCGGGAAAGGGCGCTTCGAAGGGTAAGGAAGCGAAGGCGGTCCGCATGTCGACGACCCAGCTCGTGTGATCGGCGTGCGGCGTGACGCAGCCGAAGACGCCGCCGGGCCGGAGGATCCGGACGACGTCTTTGATGACGGTGTCCGGGCGCGGGATGACATGGAGACCGAGGCTGATGACGACGTGCGTGAATGAGTCGCTTTCCAGCCCAGAGTCCTGGCATAGTACACAAACATCAGTATGGTGGTTCATTCCGAGGGTTTAATAGAGTCTCCAACAAACCGTTGCATCTATGACTCTTCCCTGAGCCCCAGCCCATTGCTCGTTCTTGATCCTCTTCTTCACCAAGTCAACCATCATCGGCGACTCGTCGCCACAGACAATTTCGCTTTTCTGGAAAACCTGCCGCGGAACGGCTTTATACAGCTCCTGCGTCGCGGGCCCCGCCCCGCAGGCACTGTCTAGAAACGCAATGGGCTCGTGAGTCTCCGCGCCCAGCCCCATCTGCGAGACGAGCCGCGCGTTTAGTGGCCCCAATATGGTGCGGCTCGTATCGATCATGGTCTCTTCCCAGTGCGAGCCGATGGTCTTGTCCATGGCACGGAAGATGGGAACCTTGGGGCCGTCTGGATGGGTGTTTTTCGTTGTCATATTTACTTCCTCGATACTAACTCAGACGGCACAGGAATATTAGAAAGTTTCAAACCTAGGGCGATGCTTAGGCGGATTCTCTCTAGAAGTAAAATGTCGGCAACTTGTTGTTTAAATAGACCGGTATCAAATGACATGAGCGAATGTAGTACTTAAAAAGTTCCCGAAAAGTCGCCGCCTCACCGAGGAGGCAGTCTAGCGTGGACTCAAGCCAGCAGTCAGCAATCAGCATCATCTGGCACAAGGATGGATGACACCCAGTAATTACGATTTCTAAGAACATCTGACAGAAACGGGATTGCACTTGCGCCTAGATAAAAAGTCACCTGCATGCAGGGTGCCGCAAGAGCGCAGCCAAAGAGAGAAAGTAGCATCTTGAGATTGTGACATCAGTCGTGGACTCGTAGGATATCGCCATGATGAGGCCGCACGCCAACAACACAACATTACTATAGTCGGATCGAGGTAAACATCCGGCACCTGGGCGCTGGGAATGTCTTCATGATAGAAAAAAAATCAACTAGCCATCCAAAGGCTTAGCCCACATCGCCTATCCTAGCCGCGCCTGGCGAAACCCCATCCCCCATCAAATGCAAGGTTATCTTTTGCTCACTTATTCTTTATACACTTCCCAGGGTTCACCGCCCCCATGGGTTGAGGCCGCAATCAGTCTTCTTTGGTTTTATCACTCGTCTTCTTTTTAAAAAACCAACTCCCTTCTTCCCCCTAATGCAGCCAAATATCAGACATTACATGAAGCGTAAGCTTCCAGAAGGGCCTCTGTCAACAAGGCCTTCCACCTCTCTCCGAACCGTCCGTAGACGCCTCCGTATCTCCGCCAGGTCCATGCCACCAGGATTCGAGCCGTGGCCAGCAGGAGGAAGCGAGTTTTCGCATCGGCTAAGCAGATCCTTGACCCAGGCACCGATGGCCCCATCGCCCTTCATCGAGACACCGCCACGGCGCTTCACTTCGCGCTGCCAAACATCAACAGCGAATACAATGAGTTCGATGATGCGGTTGCGATTGTTGCCGCTGAAACCGTAGTCCTGTGTGTCAAACACACTCTCGAGGACGCGAGTGGCCATATCGTGAGAGACGCCAAGACTGAGGAACAGTTGCACTGGCCAGGTAGGGTCGGCGCCAATCTCAGCATCCTGGTGATGCTCAACAGCGTATCGGCAGATTTCGGGCAGAAGGACGGGTACGGGGAAGATGAAGCTGTCCAACGAGGTCCGGTGGGCAATGTTCTGGACCTTGACAGAAACAGATTCGTATGGTGAGGGGAGGACAGGAATGCCAGGTCCAGCTTCCTCCATCCGCTCAACCGCTTCCTCGTGGATCTGCTCGATAAGGCTGATCCAGGTTTGGGCGATCGTTGTCGGATTACGGTAGTCGGCGCTGTGGTAAATGAGGAGGCACAGATCATAATAGTTGGCTTGATCTGCGTACTGGTTAAAGAGCTAAAAGATGTCAGTTTTGTACTGCGACGGGGGTAACGTGACAACCTACGTCGGATAACGATACAACCTGGCCATCGAGCGCTTCCTCAATCTCTGCCTTTCGTTCGGGAGCAATGCGGCTGTCGGCTTTGAGCCTCTCCAAGAGATCGTCTTGAATATTGGCAATGTCGAGAAGCTCACTGACTTCGTGAGCAAGGACCTGCTGTTGTTGTCTACCGACACCGGCCGTGGCAACGTTGGCATTAGCCTTCGCCTTGCTAAGGAGGGTGATTCTGTCCTTAATGCCGATGGCGAAGTCGGATTGCGCAAGGTCGTTCTGAACTTGAGCAGCTTCAAAATACCGTTCCCGTTGTGTGTAGAATCTGCAGAGCAGGTCCGCATGTTCTACGTTGGTTCTGGCCAAGCTCTGGAGGTATGTAATGACGTGTGGCGATTCGATGGCGAGAATTCTATCGGTCCATCCTTGTTCAATGTACCACTCATAGAGGTCAAAGTGGAAGACCTCGTCGTCCGAGTCGTTCACCACACTGTAGGCTTCGAGGCGCTTGGTTCCGATCAGCGTCAGGCGCCCATCGATGGTCTCGGGCTCTCTGCTCGATGCAGCGTCCAGGTGCTGCAGAGCTTCGTGTATAAGTTCGTAACACTTCCGGCGTTCGGCGAAGGCATTCGCGCGAGGGTCGTTACCGGGCTTGCCATCGTGAACCCAAGAAAGAGCACTGTTTCCTCTGTCCTTTTCGCGGGCCACGGTCAAACAGAGTTGAATGGCGCCAGCGTAGTACTTGAGATCAATGTACTGAGACACAGCGTTGTGAAGGTTGGAAAAGGAGAGAGCGCCGGCGACACGTTCAAAGAGTCTTAAGCTCTCGTGCAGAAGCGTGCGAGAAGGGTTGCTGTTGAGCGGCTGCTCGGATGCTCTCTTCAGCTGCTCTTGGGCCTTGAAGATGACAACATCGTCAGGGCTGCAGAAGCTGCCGCAGCGTCTCCGCAGAGCGTCCGCCACCGTCTCGACATTGGAACCGCTCTCGATGTTGCGGTTGACAATCGACTTGACAAGAAGCTTGGCCAAGTCCTTTCCGGGAGCTTGGGAGAAGAGACTCTCGTATGTGAGGTTCCTCAAGTCTTGTTGGGCTGTCGCATCCAGCCTGGTAAAGATGTCGCTCACGCGCTCGTCAAAAAGCATCAAGACGAAAGAAATACCCTCTGAGATACTCTCCATCAGCTTTTGCAGCGCGTGCAGCGCCTGGTGCTCTGCCTGGAGAGCAACCTCCTCTTGCTTGCTGGCTACTCTCTGGAGGTCAGAAGGACCGGAGAGGCCCTGAATAAAGCTCTTGTTCGCGTCGAGAAACCTGCGGAGACGCTCCAGCTGCTCCTGAATAGAGTGAAGTCTTGAGATAGGGACCATGGAGTGGATTGCGATGCCACCAGCAGTGTTTGGCGCAGCAGCGACGACATGGTTCTTCCAAAGTGTACGAATGAGGCGGGTGAGGTACACACAGAGAGCATCATGTCTGGGAGACAGGCGAACCAAGGTTGTGTTGAGAGGGGTGCCGTCGGCCTCGGTGATGGTAGGTTGTCCGCCGAAATCGACAAACACGGCCCGAGCGCGGTCTTCCGTTGCCTGATCAATTGCGCGCGTGGCACCAGGTCTGGCATCCCCGCCATATCCGCAGGCAACAGCAAGGGCGCAAGAGATGGTCTCGACTCGTCCGTAGCGGGAAATGAATTTCCTAGTCTCCATCTCCAAGCCTTCGTCACCAACAGCTCCTCGAATAGCAGCAGCAAAGGTGTCTACCAGTCGTCGACGGCGAATGATGTGAACACCAGTGTTGGTGAGAACGGCGAATTCGGTACTAGGTTCGTCAAACTGGACCGCGAGCTCGTTTCCGAAGCCGATGGGCTGCTTGGCGGCAGCGAATGGCTTCGTCACCAAACCAACATCTTCGGCCCTACTTCCAATGTCGATCCAGTTTCCGTGCTCGTAGTACTTGAGCGTTGAAGAAGACGAGTTAGCCTTGATGCGGCCGGTTTCGGGGGCGGAGACGAAGAGGAGATCAATGTTTGGGTCGTTCTCCTTGACAACAAAGTCCAGAAAGTAGCCCGGCGCAAACCTAGCTCCCAATCTGCTCAATTCCAACGCTCTCGAGCCCAGGTCAATAACGGCATCACCGTTACTATTGGTACCTGAGCGTCCGGGCTTGTCTGAAGGAGGAAACTTGATGAACTGAACTTGCATGCTCTGAGGAGGTGTGTTGGAAGAGATGCCGCCGATCATGTACGAGGCGGAGCTTGTTGCGCTGAGGAAAAGTCGACAACCGGTGTTGGTGAGAGCCATGAGATGGAGCTTCGAGGCCTCGCGCGAGGGAATGGCGCTAATGGAAACAAAGGTTGTACGGTCGTTGAGCAGAGGAGATTGGGTGATCATGTGAGTGATGTCACGGAGACAGGCGTTCCTCTCTTTCTCGATAACTTTGGTGAGCTTGTCCGGCCCATCCATGTGATACGTGCGGATTGTAGATCGGGTCGACAGGGTGTAGACAAGTTTCCGTGAGTCGTCGATGACGATGCTCTGGAGGCCTTCTGGAGACTTGTGTGCCCAAAAACTGCTCTGAAGGGTGACAACCGACGACCATCCGGGGTTGGTGTGGTTGATTTTGCCGCACCTGCTTGAGAACCACTTCTCCTCTTGTTGATAGTAAAGCTCGTGGATGTCGGTATCATTGCTACCCCCGAAGAAGATACGACCATCGGCAGTGCCAGCAATGACCCTTACATCGGTACCTCGGAGGGGGAGGTTGAGCTTTGTACTGTATAGCGAGACGGTCTTCGTCCCTGACGGGGTGGGTTCGGCGGATAGACCAAGCAAGATCATCTCAGACGATGTTGCAACAACCAAAATGTGGGTGATGGTGTTAACAAAGATTCCGGGCTTGGGGGCAACGAGAGCGACAGCGTGGATCGTATGCGGCTGGTCCTCGAAACCGATCAGCTCGGGATCGGGGTGGGTGTAATCCCAGAGAAAGAGCGAGTTGTCAATAACAACCCAAGCATGATTGATCTCGGCGAACAAGCCCATTAGGGTCTGGAGCTGGCCGGTGTTATAGTGGCTAAAAACCTGGTTCGGAATCGGGTACATCTGGGTCTTGTGGAAGGGCGCCCATGGCGAGTCGAGAGTGTTGAAATCATATTCCGACGACGCTCCTGCTATGTGGTTGTCAATTCATCGTGTGTCAGTTGAGATGGCCCAGGAGTTTGGCAAGACTTACGCCTGCAGTAGGAGTCAAGCTCAGGGTAGTTCTCGTCGGATTGGAGGAATTGATTGACCGCTTGAGCGGCCCTTGTGACAGGCGGGAGGTTCTGCTGAGGGGGTTGCGACGACGAAGTTGACACCATTCCACCTCCCGTGCTCATCGACGAGATTGTCGCGGTGGCCAGGCTCGATGGTGGCCCGACTAAAGCGCTGCTACTTGCTGTTGCTGAGCTTCCCTGGCCTGTCTCGGCATCCACAAACAGTCGTCGCCTGGCGGGATCGTTCTCGTTGGCGAACCGCGAAGCTGCGGGCGTGTTGAAGAAGGCGCCCGGCACCGGCCGCGCCGGCGTCAACTGGGGGTATGACATGTTGTCGAACAACAGAGGGAATCGGGTGACTGGCTGGCGGGCAAACGCGTCGCAAACTGCGGCCAGTGATGGCGGATTGAAGTCGCGCTACCGAATCATCAACGGGTGATGGCAGGCTGTTTCCTGTCAATTGGCGTGTTTTCAGAGGGGGTAAATCGGCAAACGCGTTTGCAATGTTGGGACCTTGCACAGCTCAAGCTGGACAAAGAATAATTGCAGATACTAGGAGCTTCGGTGGCTCGGTAAGAAAAAGATAAAGGTGTTTCGGAGCCAGGGCAGCAAAAGTGCAGCAGTAAACAATTTCTGGCAGAGCTCAAAGAGGCTGGGGCGTCGGGTGCTTGGAATTTTCGTGCTGGAGTTGCGCTAAGCCTGATTAGGATACAAGGCTGAACCTGATGTTTCCGTACCGCGATTGACAATAGTTCTTGAGCTACCTTAGGATAGAGTATATCAGAGACATCGTGTTTTTTGATTGGTATTGAATTCTTTAACATATTCGGTTCGTGAACCCATGGTTCTAGTTTATTCTATGGCCAACATCCTCTTGGTGACACGATTTCTTCCTGGGTCACCTATACCGAGCTATCAATGCTTCCTAATGCCTTTCAGACCTAGCTATCAAATTGAACATTGAATCATTCCTCATTTGGCAACTTATTAACCCCAGAGGAGCTAGGTGTCGCATCCTTCTACATCGGCTTTGTGGCCCATTCATCACCATGACTACTGGCTCTTGTCTACTGCTTCTTGGCCTCGCGGGCGGCCTTCCTGAGCGCACGATTGCGAATGTCGACGTGCATCTTGAGGTTAAACCAGATACCCAGGCTGTGGGCAGCGCCGATGGTGCTCTCAACAGCCCAAAGCATCAGTGCATGCGTCCACCAGGGCGTGTAGGTGTAAGCAAAGTTCTGGTAGCCGCCGGAGCCAATCTTGCCAAGGGTCGCGCGGACAAAGTCCTTGGGCTTGGGAATCATGGCGCTCGAGCGGCGAACTTTGCTCATGGCGGTGGTGATGAGGTAGCTGAGGACGAGCTGGACGTCGACGCCCTGTGGCTTCAGCTCGGCAGCGAGAGAGCTGCTCCAGTGCTGGAGGAAAGCCTTGCTGCCGGAGTATGTGGCCAGGTATGGGGTGGGCATCCAGCCAGCAAAGGAGCCCATGGTGAGTATGAGACCACGCTTGCGCTGCTGCATGATGGGCGCGACGACCTGGGTGGTCTTGAGAGTGCCGAGGCAGTTGATGGACACGATGCTCTGGAGTTCGTTGCGGGGGGTCTCGAGGAAGGGGATGGGGATGCTGTGGCTCTGGCCGACGTTGTTGATCAGGATGCCAACGTCGAGACCGTTGATGAGCTGGGCCAGTCTGTCGTAGTCGGCGTCGTCGTCGCGGGAGAAATCCATGGCAAGCACCTTGACCTGGATCTTGCCCGAGAACTTGGCCTCGATCTCGTGAGCGAGAGTTTCGAGCTTGGATTGGGTTCGAGAGACGAGGACGAGGTTGAAGCCCTTGCTGGCAAGCTGGTAGGCAAACTCTTTGCCAAGACCATCGGATGCGCCGGTCACAACGGCCCAGGTGCCTGGCTTGCCATACTTGCGAAGCTGTTGTGAAGAACTGTGTGAGCATCTACTCCTCTACTAGTCACTGGGCGACGGGGAGGGCCACTTACACTAGTTCCGCTAAGCAGAAAGACTCCAAGAAGGAACTTGACGTAGCTCAGGGCTTTGGAGGTGAGAAAAAGGGCGCCAACACCAGCGAGAAGAAGCTGAACAGACTGGGGCACGTAGGCTAGATTATCAATCAATCCTGCCATGATAACTACCGCCACAGGGCCTAGGTCAATATTTTGAGTGTGTAAAGAGAAAAAGGACGAAGAGTGGAGGGCGGCGCAGAGGACCTGGAAATTGCGTCTCGTCCGTGAGATAGGTGAGCACGGACAAAATGTTGAGATGCGCGAATGTTGGAAATCGAATATCCCCCCAGCCACACCTCGGCACCTGCCTCATTTTGTTGAACTTTCACACTACCTAATTGCCTGTTACAGTGGTACAGAGGTACCTTGGAACGCTGGAGGGGCAGAAAGCTCTGACCAATCGTTGGACAACCAGCTCTAGCCAGCCACAGCTACCCAAGGTCAAGCCACAGCCAATTTCGAATTGACAGCCGATGCATTGCGAAGCTATATGATTTTCCACTCTTCTCTGTGGATGCGCCGCAACTCTATCACCAACGCTTCACGCCAATTAACCTAAATCGAGCCTCTAAAACCCCAAGATCAGTCGCAATGCCGTCCTACGCTGATTACCTTCCTTCGGCGAAGGGTGGTATTCTGCCCTACTACATGCTCCTTGTAATGAACCAAGCTATGGCTTCCACGATCATGTCACTGACTATGCTGCCCCTTAGCTTTCCCTAATCTCTATTGGCAACTCAGTGCAGAACCTCATGACCCTGCACTACTCGCGCCGCCTCTACGACGGCAAATACGTCCGCAACACGAAACTCCCCGCCCGATCCGCCACGTTCAATCCGGAGGACTCGGTGGACAAGTACGTTCCCGCCCCCGCAGGCGCGACAGACATTATTGATCAGGCAACGCCCCTTGCGGCCCGTTGCTTCGGCACCTGGACATTCCTTACGAGCATAGTCCGTCTCTACGCTGCGTATCACCTGCGTCATGCGCACATGTATGACCTCGCCATCTGGACATACGTTGTTGCGCTGGGCCACTTTGCCAGCGAGCTGTTCATCTTCAAGAGCATGTCCTTCGGCCTGCCACAGATATTCCCCTTTACTCTGGCTACTACTGCTCTGATTTGGATGCCACTGGTTCGCCCCTTCTACGTCGACAGCCCTTAGGCTGTTCGCAGGAAACCGGGGCGTGACTAAAACTGGACAAAAGACAACACTCATATCATATACTCTACAAACAAAAGTGCGGCGACGGCGTGCGGACATGGGTAGTGTGTCTGCATAAGAAGGATGTTCACCAGATGCTGGCTACTCAGCTACTCGGGCAGATCGATGCGCTATTGCGACTATGTTGATAATAACACAAGAAACCTAATATCCTTCATCGGGAATCGCACGTGATTGACGCAGTTGTATGCATTCCTATTCTACTGGATGGCTTTGCGGTACAGCTCGCCGCCGGTGGCCCGGAGCCGAGCGGCGGCTTGTTCGGGGGTGATGTCACGCTGGGGCTCTGCCATCATCTCGTAGCCGACAAGGAACTTTCGAACGGTGGCAGAGCGCAGCAGAGGCGGGTAGAAGTGCATATGGAGGTAGCTGTTCTCTGCCTCCTCCTCGGTGGCATCAAGTGGTGCTTGGTGAATACCGGAACCTATCATGGCGTTAGCTACTTGGCAACGAAGCAGGTCTTGGGCCTACTTACTGTAGGGGAAGTGCGTCTCGAAGAGATTGTCATATCTCCTTGCGACCTCCTGGATGGCTTCGGCAAACTGCAAGCGCTCCTCGGCGGACAAGTCCACCAGAGCGCGAACGTGTCTCTTGGGCAGAACCAGGACCTCGAACGGCCACACACCCCACCAAGGGACAACGACAAGGAAGTGTTCGTTCTCGAAGACAGTGCGCTCTTTCTTCTCCAACTCAACCTTGACATAGTCGCCCAGTAGGTGCCGTCCGGCATGCTGGTCGCGGTACTTGGCCATCTGCTTCAGCTCGGTGCCGGGCTCCTCGGGCATTGTGGACGTCGCCCAGACCTGGCAGTGCGGGTGAGGGTTCGAGCATCCCATGGCAGCACCCTTGTTCTCAAAGATCTGCATGTACCGTAGGCTGTGCTTGGGCGGCGGCACTGTGCTTTCGGGGGTTGGGGCAGGGATTTCGAGGGCGGCAGCGACCTTGGAGAGTGGGTTCGAAGAGGAGAGGTGGGAAGCGTAGATTTGCGTCCACACGTCGATGACAGGAGCGATCTCTTGGGTCGTCATGTCGGCAAGGGTAACATGGTGCTTCTCAGAAAAGGTGAGGACGTAGCATTTGCCCGTGGCCGCTTCGGCGCGAAGCAGCGACGATGCAATGTCTAAGGAACTGTTAAATATGCTCTGTTCTGGTTCGTACCGCGGGACGACATACCGTTGGTTTCTACCTCAGGCTTGTACTCGGCCTGCTCCTCCTTGACAGCGCTGTAGTCATTGACGAAGACAAAGGTGTTCTTGTAGTCGGGGTTCGAATCGCCTACCGCCCTGGAGTTCCGGGGGCAGAGGTAGCACTTGTCAAAGTCAGCATTTGATGATTATGGGCTGCGTGCGACCCAAGGTAGCTTGCCTTGGGGTCATATTCGGGAAGCGTCGTGGTAGATGGCCCCTCCTGCTGACCTCTGTTCGTCTCAGCGCATGCTGTATTAGGCTTTTGTTCGGCGCATTCTTACTGCCAGGGGCGCTTGGTCCGGTGGGGGGAGACCAGCAACCAAGTGTCCTTCAAAGGGTTGTACCGTCGGTGGGAAATGTCGTCGAGAATCTTTTCAGGCATTGCAGCTGAGTGAGACGGCTATTCACTATAGTGTGGTGGCGCTGGTGATGGTAGCGGGGTAGTTTTGCGACGAAAGGAAGGGACCGGTTCCGTGCTCAGCTCAGCTCTAAAAGATGGGACGTGACAACTCAAGAACTGGAAGGAGATAAAGTCCAGACGAGGCGAGATATTATTATAAGCAAGTCACGTTGTTGGTTCCGTTGTGAGGCTAACGCAGAATGGACGAGATTCTGCACGAGACTCCATTCGCCGGCTGCGACCTGCCGAGGGACAGAAAGACCGATGAAGCTGCCATAGACAACTCATCAAGAGTCTGATCCCTGCTTTGATGGTTTCGTGACGGCGCCTGCCGGGGGTTGCTGGAGAGAGGATGGAGGGACAGATGAAGAAATGCCCCGCGAACCCCACCATTTGAAAAGCGCACCACTGCTGGGCGGGCGGCCTTATGCGCTGTAAGACGAACAGCGGCGGGAAACAGGCGGAAAGCGTGAACCTTGGAAGAACAGCATTGCGGGACCAGAATGAATGGTCCAGCAGTGATTGAAAGACCTAAAGAGGTATGCCCCTTTGTCGTAGGATCTCATGGGTGTCACGACTGCCTCGGCTATGTTCGATGCATAACAAAACGCTTGGGGGCGATTATCCCATTGTAGGAAAATTAGTACATGCCTAGGTAGAAGGCCAGGATTGGTCCATAGTAGTAGCCCAGAGGGACGGGGCGGGGATGGCGGAGCCGGTCGGAAAACACAGAGGTCTACCATATAATTATGTAATCATGTCGCTGCAAAGCTATCTGTGGCGGTGCAGTCAGTGGCAAACCACTCTGTGGCTGACCACGGAAAGACTTCGGGATAACCTTCTCTCCAAGTTCCGCCATCGATCCCCGGATTGGAGTCGGTTGGAGCCTAGCTGTGATTTGATGTTTCCGATGCTCAACCTTGGAAACCAGTTAGTCCATGGCAACACGCCCGTTCGCGCCTCATCATCCGAAAACCCATCAATACCATCGACACCATCAAAGAGCCTTCCACCCGCATCGACTACCACCAACTGCTTACATTAAATCACTAAGCCCAAGTAAATAAGGTCATCGTATGCATTCTCCCGCATCGCATTAACACGGTCGCTGTCGGATCAGCCTAGCCAGGGGCTGGCCTCCACGTCTCCACCGCAGCACTGGACGAGATGGGCGTCATCAGAAAGAAAACCGTCACTCGGGGCGGTGAGGGTGGTGTCAAGTATCATTGCGATATTTGCTCTGTAGATATCACATCCACGGTAAGTCCTTTGTTATTTTTGCCATGGCCGGCTGGGGTTTGCCCCGCTGTTGTGTTCCGGCGCAACACGGCCGTACGATAGTCGCGTATCCCATGTTTCGCACAACACTCACGGACTGCCTTTCCCTGCATCTAGGTACGCATCAGATGCGCTCACTCTGCTTGCAACGACTACGATCTCTGCGTCCAATGCTTTTCCCATGGAAAGTCCAGTTCAAATCACAAGCCCGAAACACATCCATATCGAGTTATCGAACAAAACTCGTTTCCCATCTTCGACCGCGATTGGGGTGCCGACGAAGAACTACTTCTGCTCGAGGGCGCAGAGATATATGGCTTGGGATCATGGGCCGACATTGCAGACCACATTGGTGGCTTCCGCCACAAGGACGAAGTAAGGGACCACTACCTCAAAGTCTACGTTGACTCGCCACGGTTTCCGCTGCCGAAACGATGCAGTCCGCACGATATGGACCTTGCGAACGAGATCTCTAGAGAGGATTTCCAAGCAAAGAAGAAGCGCAGGATAGAAGAGCGGAAAGAAGCCGCCAAAAACGCGCCCACATTACAGCCGAAGACAAAACCGACTGCTTCCGTACCGTCTTGTCACGAAATTCAAGGCTACATGCCTGGCCGTTTGGAGTTCGAGACCGAATATGCCAACGAGGCCGAAGAAGCAGTGCAGCTTATGCAGTTCGACCCAGGCGATGGCCTCAACCCCCGAACAGGCGAGCTTGAGCCGGAAATGGAGCTGAAGCTGACAGTCATGGACATTTACAACTGCCGTCTCACGCAACGTGTGGACAGGAAAAAGGTCATTTTTGAGCACAACTTGTTGGAATACCGTGAGAATACCAAAGTGGAGAAGAAGAGGAGCAAGGAAGAGAGGGACCTCTTGAACAAGGCCAAGCCTTTCGCTCGGATGATGAACCACGACGACTTCGAAAGCTTGTGCCAAGGCCTGATTGACGAGCTTAACTTACGGCAGGCCATTCAACAGCTCCAGGAGTGGCGAAGCGTGCGCATTGGCGACTTGCGCAGTGGGGAGAAGTATGAGACGGAAAAGGCGCAACGGGCACAGAAGGCTGTACCCATGGGATCCATGGACAGGGACCGCCTGGCCTCGGCACAGCGGTCTAAGGCAGCTGCTGTACCCGACCCTCCGAGCGGTGCCGCCCTGCTTGTGGCTCCCGAGCTGCCTATCCGGTCGGCGCCAGCCCCCGACGGCACCAACGGTACCATTCCGCCCAGGGAACCCAGGGAGCCTAATGGGGACAGCAAACCCCAGACCAATGGCAACGCCAATGGAGCTTCCACAAACGGTACGGTCGTTGTTGCCAACGGCACAGGTCCGTCAGGCCCTATGACACGGCAGAGATACATGGCCCCGGCCCTGCCGGGCGTCACGCCACTTCAGCTCACCCAGGACGGTGCGCCGGATTTGCACCTCCTGACGCCAGAGGAGGCTAAGCTCTGCGAAGTGGTGCGGTTGCAGCCGAAGCCGTACCTGATGATCAAAGAACAGATCCTCAAGGAGGCCCTCAAGAGCAACGGCACTCTGAAGAAGAAGCAGGCCAAAGAGATATGTAGGCTCGACTCACAAAAGGGTGGTCGCATATTCGACTTCTTTATCAACGCTGGATGGGTCGGTCGCGCGTAAAGGGCTACCACTGTAGCTGGGTGACAGATTTTGGCTGGTTTTCAGGCCTGAGGTTTCCGCTGGGTGGTTGGCTCTGGCGTCGTGTCGGAATGGGCGACGAAGCTCCGATTTTTTGGACTAGGGCGTTTGACAACAGTTATTAAGGAGCTTGTTTAGCTATCGTGTATGAAGATACCAATCTATGATCGTAGAAATTGATGCGCTTCGGGCCCATTCCCAAACCCGCACCATCTGCTAAAGCTTTTCTCTTCTTCTTCTTCTTCTTCTTCTTCTTCTTCTGTGAAGTGTAGACGATGGGTATTTGTGCGGCGGAGCTTATGAGGAAGCAAGGCATGAACTATCAAACGGGTATATGCACTTCCTGTAAACAAAGTGTATATACAGATGGCGCCGAGCTTTTGAATGCACTGGGAGGTCTTGGAATGTGCAACACGCTCAAATCCTTTTCCAGCACTTGATTCATCCCTCAACATCTTGCCAGTCTCTACGTTTTTCCTCCGCTCCATCACAAAAACAATATGCTTAGAGCATGGCAGCACCGAAAAAGCCGGCAGCGGCAGCGGCAGCGGCAACGAGCATGCCGGTCTCTCGGGGCGCGGCAGCAGCAGGGACCGCAGTCGAGGGCACGGCCGAGGTCTCACCGGCGCCAGCGGTGGTGGCCGTAGCTGTGGCGGTGGCGGTGGCTGTTGCGGTAGCCACGCCGCTGGCCTGGCTGGTGATGTGACCGAGAGCGGTGGAGCAAATGGAGGCGCCGAACTGGGCGATGAGGGCGGAGATTTCGGGGACGTCACTGCAGGCGCCCCAGAGGGCGCGGATCTCAGTGATGTGGGCGTCCTCCCATGACTGCAGGGCGGAGGAGTAGGAGGTAAGGACCTCGCCGATGGAGCCAGTGACGGAGGGGAACTGGCACGGGTCGGTGACCTGGGGGATGTTGGCGCCGGCGCCGGTGGCGAGGGCATCGGGGATGGGTGGGAAGTCGGCGGTGACGGTGGCGTGCTCGGAGACGGCGGCGATGCAGGACGCCTCGTCGCGGGCCTCGAGGGCGGCGGCGCCGCGTCGTAGGTTCTGGGGGAAGGAGCCGGAGAGGTCTCCGATGGCCAGGGCGCCGGTGGCTGCGCCGGCGGCGACGAGGAGGATCTTGGACTGCATCTTGGCTTTGGCGGTGGTAAGTGGCCTCGGGGTAGGGACAAGAGTCGTGAAGTTGAAGATGGGACTGGTGAAACCCAGAAAGAGTCCAGCTCCTAGGGCGCCGGTGAAGAGAAAAGCATGCTTTTAAATCTTTCACAATCCTTCCATATGCATGTTGTTACACCCTTGTTCGTGTTTATTGCCCCCATACCTAACATACCCCTCCCGCCTAGCCTAGATACAACCACACACACCACACCCATAATGACATCTGATAGGTTCCGACGCGGAAGCGTCTCTTGGCGTATGTGAAGCCGAGCCGCCGAGGCGATAGTGACCAGACACTCAATCTCGTTTGGCAATGCCAGCAGCCCCTGATCCAGAAAAGGGAGAAAAGAGGTTGGCTGGCCTTTGGCCCTCTCTGTCACAGCACCTACGGCAGCCTGTGTGCACGGCAGTAATGCAATAATCGACCACACGTTAGAATGTTGGATCATGGGCTTCGGCTGCTGGCGGCACTGCAGCACAATGGAATGAGGGCGTTTTCCGAGGCATGTGAGGCAAAGGCGAATGAGGAAAAGGCAGTGAGATGGTTCTTAGACACGCGACACCTGAAAGGCGCAGCGCGCCAGGGACCACCAGGAGGTGACGGTTGAATTGCCCGGTTACGGGCTAGCAAAGCATTTCTAGCTGATGTATCCGTAAGCTCTTGTCAAGTTGTCACGTAACCTAGAAGCATGTCACAGGACGAGATGTTGGGACTTTTACCGCCAGAGTGGGCCGTGGAAAACAGGCAGAAGCTCCTTATTCCAAGAGGCTTGGATCTCAGAAGTAGTATCCGTACAGTGTTACCTATGTTGGGTGCCTGGGAATCGGCAGGGATCAGCTCCGAATCCTGCTGCCCCGTACAACTCCACTGGCCTAGCCTCTCTCAGCTTCTGATTGCTTTCCTTGAAGGCAGGCATGCTCCAGTTCGGGTGGCGTGGCCTCATGATGTTGTTCTCCTTGGGGCCAATGGCGCTATGAAGTTCCCACGCTCTAAGATTGCGTGAGGCGCTCGGGGTGTTGAACGATGGGGAACCAACATTTGTGAAAGCAATGTGATTATGTAGTGGGGGCGGAGATGGATAATGGGGAATGGTTTCGATCCTCTACATAGTATTCCACTGAAAGAGGAACCTGCCCCAGGAGACGCGGGGCTTTGATTCCTACGCCACGCAGCTTTCTCCATCATTTGAATCCACAGAGAGGCAGCGTAAACGATAACAGCACGAATTGATGGCGCGCCGGCTTTCTTAGCTTTCCTCATGTGAGTAAAGTGACGTTGATCGCCGCCCAGCTCAGGGATCGAGACACTGCCACGAGGTCTATGGGCGCTGCGGCTGTGCCACACCTCGAACCATCAGAATACTGCTGTATTAATCAGTGGTGCTCAGATAGCAAGGCCAGCGCTGTTGCTTGGGGACCAGGGATCTCGCTCGAAAGGAATCTTAATGTTTTCTTGGCGACAGAGCGACACTGCTGCGCCGCGTCTCAATGACGTGTTGCTAGTGCTGACCGGTGATATCTCTACGGTCATTGGTTAGGCTACTTGTAGGTGCATGGCTAGCCAGTGTCGCCCAAATTCGCGCGTCATTTGAGACAGGGAAAAGGTATCCCTCAGGCTGCAGCTCACGTTAGTTAACTATTCTACCTATGTTTGGTCAGTGAAGGGCAGGCCGTTCCATCCTGTGAGGCTCCGCAGGCGGGATCATCACATTAATCAAGTGAATATCTCGGATAGATTGGTCCAAGCGTTATGCCAGGGCGTCATGTTGCTGTTCAATGAGTGCACCAGGAGATTCGAGCTCGGTCTCCCGTTGTACCATATGTAATAGCAATGAAAGGGATTGGCCGACTAGATTTCACTCTTTGTATGTCAGCAAAGAGATATATAACATGTATTGCTCTAGCTGTAGACGGCTACTGTAGAGTAGGCTGATGTCAAAGCTACTATGTACATCCTTGGACCTGCTGTTAACTGCTACACAGTCCGCTAGTGGCCATCCGCCCGGCGTAAGCTGCATGTGTAGCCGTTTAGCTAGGTATTTGACGGCGTGTCTTAAGATAGGGCTGACATGCATGAAGAAGTTGATGTATTATTGGACCGGACTGCCGGGGATCGACAACAGAATAACTGAGCTTGCTTTCTGTTGATGCTCGTCTCTCGGGTGACGTTGTCCGGGTCCCGTTGTGAGGCTTTGATGCGGCTTTTTATTACCGACGGGTAACCCAGCCAGAGTAGCTGGGAATATCTGGAGCCTCCAAACCCACGCCAAGCCATCTCCAATATGAAGAGCAGCTCTAGTCTTACGATTGTCCTAGGTTGGCTCCTTGTGGCTTTGGCCCAGGGCCACACCATCATCAGCTATCCAGGATGGAGAGGCAACACCTTCGTCACGAATGAGACATATCCCTTTGGGATGCAGTGGACTTACCCATGTATGCCTTCTTCCAACCTCATGCTGCGAGTCAGATGCGGCAGCTCGTATCGTTAAAATGTCAATCGGGCTAACATGGCAACAAAGGCGGCGGGCTCGGTGTGACACAGAATCGAACTTACTGGCCCATCGATGGCGGCGCCATTGCTGTACAACCAGGCTGGAACTCAGGCCACAAGACGGCGCTGATGTACATCAACCTTGGTCTCGGCGAGGAGCCCAAAAGCTACACAACAGTGATGGTCCCCAGATTCCTCCTGACGGGGCCGACGAACAAGCAGTACGAGGGCACATTCTGTCTCCCAAAGGTCCCCATCCCGGAGGGCGTAACCCTGAATGAGGGCGACATGGCGTCGATCCAGGTCGTCCAGGCTGCACAGCATGGTGCTACCCTCTTCAGTGTACGTGCAACTGTATCTTCGTGTCCCTGAGGCGACCAATGCCCACTGGCCGAAGTGAGACTGATCAAGCGGTAGTGTGTCGACGTTATTTTCACTAGAGACCAGTCCAAGGTTGCGGAGGTGACTGGTGACAACTGTTTCAACTCCACCGACCTTAAGATTGAAGCCGCCACTCTGGAGACGAACTCTTCGCCAATCACCAAGCCTTCTACGATAACGACTGCGCCCCCATCTCCGACGAGTGTTGCATCGCGTACAATGATTGGGGTATCGTGGCTGGTGAGCTTACTTCTAGTCATGTAAGCCACTGAGCCTTATCAAAAGGGGTACGGGTTTCTCTTGAATGGGGTTTGCCATTTTTATGGCGTTAGTCTACGTAAGACAAATTGTCATAGGCTGCTGGGATCTGTCGTAATATTGAATAGAGGCACAGTCGCTACACCGAGGCAGAGTCTTAAGGAAACTATCAGCGTTGTTTTCTTCTTTGTTGGCCACGACATTATGTCGAAATCTTTTATAATTCTCGTATCATTTGAATCCACATGCCATGTTTGGGTAGTCTTGCTGGATTAACTGTGTGCGTACGTTCAGAATGAACTCTGCGTTTCAATGGCAACTTGCTGGGAGGAAGGGGCAGGTTGCAAATTTACACAGAGATATCAGCAAGGTTGTCAGCATCCTCGAAGAAACCATCAGTCAAATCCGATAACGACGTCGATAAAGAATACCGTCGTTGACGGACGAAGACTATAGGTGGCAGCAGGCTGTCCATCGGCTCATCTAAAGGGAAGATGGTGGTACGATTCCGGCTGCGAAGGAGAGTGAGTACGCGGGAAGGTACTTGCATTACATTCAGCACATATAATCCGCTTGTCACACTATTCCGCCGTGATACATTGCTTTCGCTCAACAGCTTCTTTGAGCTACTTAATCGTCATGGATAGATAGTAAAGCCGGCATAAGAAAACTAAAACTCTCAATAGTAGTCTTTACAGGAGACCTTTCCATGTCTAAGTGGTACAGACTTCATTTTATTGATTGAATTCAATATGAAGACTCTTAAGTGTGGATGTGCCGTGGTATCACATTGATCATGACCATCATAGGTGACACAGGGAGGTTGGTATTTCATGCCCATACTCGTATCAAGATCACTGTGCAGAAAGCTTGGAAAATCCAATCGCACAGTATCACATTGATGACCAAGCTTTCTCGAGATTTCTCTCCAGTACTCGATGGCCTCTCTTCTGGTGTAATCACTCTCAATACGTGTTCCGTTTGTGTCAACCTCTACTTGCCAACCCATATAATCGGGGCCTTGATCTTGATTTCTGTTCCATTCAATGGCATTGCTGGCTTTGTGGGCATTGGGGTTACCACTGACAACAGAGCTTGCATAGTAACTAGAAAGGACTGTCCCAGATCCGGGATATTACCTATCTGGCTCATCCCAAGCATAGGGAACATCGGCACTGTTTGAGATGCCAATGTGCGGGGTGATATTATCATTGGTGTTCCAGTGCATCTTCCATACCGGAATGCCCTCCGCTGAAAGACAGTAGGCGATATCTTGTGCAATGCTAATGTATGTAGTGTGACCATGTGCGTCAGACGGCCTTGTGAACTGAGCAGACTGCCCCTGGAATTCACGTGGGGAGATTCAGGTTTAGCCTGGGGGTCGGGGTACAGGTGGTCGAAGATCTGTCTATCGCTCTCGTTGAGGGAGTATACATGTTGAAAAACCACGCCCAGGCTTCGTAGTCTGTTGTCAGTTTTGTTGGTACATATATGCTACCATCATTAGTGTTGAAGTATACCAAGGTAGGGAGGCAATTCCATAAGCCCAGGTCCCAAGTCTCGGACGGAAGGCGGGGGATAATGGAAGCGTCTAATTAACAGCATGTCGGCACTGGAATTGAAGCAGCCGCAAAGGCCGAACGAAGAAATACATACTTGAAACGGGCTGAAAAGGTTGAGTGCTGTTGTACCGGTAGTCGGCATATAGGCCAGTAGCCGTTTTCTCGATGCGTTCAGCATTAACCGCTATCAGTCACCCAGGCTGGGACTTAGCAGTCTCGTCAATTTGACAGCCGACTCGATCAAAAAACTGCTAAAACTGTGTGACGATGAAAGGATCCGATGTGACTGGCAAAGAGCGGCCAGTCGGGCTACCCGACTGGAAGATTGCGTAGTGGAAGTGCGAGGGCGAAGGATGGGGTTTTTGATAGTGAAAGCCGATTGAGTACGCACCAGCCGACTTACCTGTCAGATTAATACGCTCTGGGTCGCCACTAAACGACGAGACATATATATGAACGAAGCAGAGAAGTTGGTGCTGATTTTGGAGCCCAAGATTGTCAATGCCGAGTGCGGAAAAGGCATCATTCTGTAGTTGATGGTCACAACCATAAGAGGCTCTCGTGAGGCTGTGACAAACGAAGCTCGGTGGAACATTATGCCAGCGCCATTGCGAAACAGACCTAGCAACCAGGTTAGCATCCCCCCTTCCCCGGCCTCTCAGCAAGAAGCAAATAACCCTATTCCATGGATCCAGACCAAAACAGGCAGTTTCTTGTCTGGGCTTACAACGGATGGCCTGTAAACATTGAGATTCAAACAGTCTTCGCCATATACCGATTCAGTCTTGACATACTGGATACAAAATTTCCTGTCAGACTTGGCGTCTCGTGTCCCGTTGAATGCAGAGGGCCACTGGACTGAACTGAAACGGAGCTTACCGATGGGCTGCTCCGCATACTTGATGCCATACCAAACGCCAAAGGGTGCCGCCAGAGCACGGGTATCCGGAACTGGTTGTGTTGAGAGTTGTTCCGGAAAACGACTCAAATGATGGCAAGTGAGCTACCAAATAGCTATTCGAAGAGAAGGAAGCACCATAAGCGGCAGACGAGAGTACTCTGGCCCTGATGAGGTTGGCCTTTACCCATGACACCCCCAAGCTGGACCGTGACACCATAATATTAATGCGATTGTAATTGAGATTGACCGAGTAAATATACTCATAGCATAATCATAGGAGCTTGAGAGCCGATTGTAGTTCCTCCCAGTGATCCAATTAAGCCTCGGCTTCTTTACCTTTCATAAGAGGTCACAGTCCATTAGACTGGACCAAGAGCCGATCTTGCGCCAGTAGTTAACCTCTCTGTCGCAAAAACAACACCATTAATCGCAAGCAGCAATTAACACCTAATATATCCTATAACACACCGCCTTAGACTTATACTATTCCTAGGGCAAATCTACAACTCTTATTAATATTAGACCTTTTAATTAGGTATATCTTACTAAAGTCTAGGTAGTTCAGTCTAATCTATAACATAAAAAACGTAAAGAGGAGGTGTTAGTAGGATTTAAACCTATAAGGTCTATAACGCTTAGATGCTAACTCTAGGGCTATACTATTATAGCACACTAGAGAAAACTAGGCTTATAACTGTTATAAAAACAACGCTATTAATTATAAGTAGTAATTAACACCTAATATGTCCTGTAATACTCTCTTACTATTAGTATCCTTATAGATCCCACTATGGAACATGGAAAGATAGGTATGGAACTCTGATTACGATTGATGGTGCAAGAGTATGGGAAATGACGAGAACCGCAACTACGTCATCTCTGGAACTAGCATATAGAGAGTTGGAGAAGAACAAATGTGTTGGTTAGAAAACAGCGGATAGGTTTGCGTCTTCTTCTTCTTTTATAACAGTTCTTTGACTACTATAAAGAAGCAAGGCCTTGAGCGTTGCAAACATGTTCAAGCAGAGGCCCTGAGCTTTTGACTTTTAGCCTAAGGCTGTCCTTTCGTGATCAGCATTGAATCGCAGAGTTGAGGGACAGAAAAGATGATCAATCTTCCAGGAATAAGCGATGTGATTCTGTCTTAGTCTTACTATAAATTCAGAAAAGCGGAGACATGAGAAGTTGCTGCTTCATAACCGCCCTCTGCTGGCAACGGGTCGCTAATTCGTGGCCTTTGCGAGACCTCCTGTTGTCACATTCTCCAGCTCCTCCAGTTGCGGACGCCAAATACGTACATGGCTGGAATGCACGAGACCGGAAAACGAACCTTCACTTGATAGTAGTTTGTCTGCGATGAATGCGTTATTATGGGGTAAAGATCCTGAACCTGAATATTATCCATTGTTTTGATATGGATCGGCCAACGAGATTTCTCAACAAACTAAATGATGCTCCCTTCATAGAAGTATTACGAGAGAAAGATACCTGAGTCGCTGTTCAGATTGTAAACATAGAATAATGGGTAGTTATAAAATTCGGCTATCTGTAATATGTTGAAACCATCCCAAGCTGATCGAAACAGCATTCTTTTGTCCAGCAGTAGCAATTGTGTGAAGAAAATCCTACCCCTTCGAACAGAGACTCGTATTTGGGCGGTGGAAAATTCAAGCTCGGTATTTTGCAAGGAGTCCACACCATGACCCGGAATGATGACTTCCATAATGTACAAGGAGCAAATTCATGTGTCTGTTTGCGCAGTTATTTAAAACGCTGACTAACGTACGCCACTTCATCTAGTATTTATCCGTCTTTGGCATTGCCTCATTGTGAGGTATTCCAGATCCACGTGAGAACGGCTCCAAATTGCTCTGTTTTTATCATTCGTCATGTAGACCCTATTCTCTATTCATCATTACGGGGCATCCACCCGACCTCTTGCCATCTACCACGTCGCTATGCAGCTTACTTATCTCATCGGGCGATAGCTTGACGGCTTGTGCTACTGCCTCGTCAAACCTGGCTTCCGGCCCGCGGTTGTCAGTCTTAGGCTCTTTTCTGACCACTCCATCCGGAGCAATTTGCCGGAACATCTGCAGCGAGTCGAACCAAGTGTCAACAGCCTGCAAGCGAAGTTGCTCATCCACCCTTGCGACTGTCACGCCCTCAATGTCAATGGGGCCACCGTGGGCCCGCGCCGTGACTCTGTCGCCTTTGCTACAAATGATAACCCTCTGGTCAGTTTCTAGCATTGAGGAAATGGTTCAATAGCGGAGAAAAAGTTGAATATAGCGTTTCGACGACTTACTCGTTGAATCCAACGTAGTCGTTCTTCATCACTCCCCAGTGGCGCCACCTAAACGCCACACAGGGCGGGCCACTGTAAACTTCGAGAACCTCCCAAGCAAAGTTGGGCATCATTCTTTTGAAAGTCTTATGGCTTGATGCAAAATCCGAGTAATCAGGGCTGTAGTACTCGTTGGGCGCAATGACAGCATTATACGTGCCAACGTTGAGCATGTGCTCGCCCGTCTGTGGCGGACCACCGTTGATGGAAAATGTGTAATTGGCGTGGTCGATGGTCCGCCAGTCATCGAGCTTTGTCTTGAAAGAAGCCTCGACTTCCCAGTTTTTGACCAGGTTCTCCACAATCTCTTCAAGACTGCCAGCCTTATGGCTCATCTTTTTGCCTGAAGCCCTTGTTAGCATATGAAAGGACGCAAACCACAGTCTACATCTAAATGTGACGTACCTTCCCTCCAAACCTTGCGTGTCTTTGTATAGTCCGGCGGTCTTCCATATCTCCACTGAACTCCTTTGTCGCTGAAAACTGCGTTTGGCGTCGTGACATAGTCCGGTAACGCAGTACGAACCGGGGCCGTAGCCTCCGGTGTGAGGTCTTGAGTGCTCACACGAACCATCGTGATGAATGAAGATCGACTATGAGAAAACTTCAGAGACGATTACGAGAAGTTTGCTCCCTAATAAGATCTTGAAGAACCCGCCAAAAAGAGCGCTGTCACACAAAAGGAATGAGATGTCTCAGATGACTATGGAGAAAAGAGAGACACGGATGACGAGAATACAAATACCTTTCCACTCGGGGGCAATGCTACCGACCAAGCCTTTCCCTTGAAACGCAAATCGCAACGGGGTGCTGCGCCAGAAGTGCCTTCCAGCGGACCACTTTTCGCCCCAGGCTGGATCGAGCACCTCTGCGCGCGTCGGTAGATGGGACGCCGGGTGAGCTTCGAACGTCCGAGCCCTGGAACGCACCTCAATAGTCGTAGTGTGGCAGTGTACAGTGTAGAACAGCCTGGAACCAGGTACGAGTGCCAAAGCGGACAAATGCTATGTTACACGACGTTGGACACTAGAAGCAAACAAGTTCAGATTATGCAATCTAATTTGCTGGGCGTCGTCCCGGGAAGCGAATCCTGGCTCATCTGACTTGGTTAGCAAATTGATTGATTCAGATATCCCGACTGCGTGGGAGGAAAAATAGGAATATGCATGTTACCGAAGAGGATGAGATTCCGAGGCGCTGACTATAGGAGTGAGGTTGTCAAAAGTTTCGACTTTACAAGAGGTGTGACTAGGCAGTCTGCAAATATACTCATTCCCCACTTACTTAGAGTAGCCTCAAGTGGTTTCTTTTATATTTCAAATCCCGAAGGGCTCACCGGGCCCTGGCACTGCTCCCGTCCCAAAAAGGAAAAATGCGGGAGGGATACACGAGAATGCTGGCACTTGTTGGGAGAAACGCAGGGAGGAAAGGGAGGCTGCGATCCGGTGAATTCATTGGGCGCCAAAGAGTTGATAATCAGCCAGATCGATGAATTGAACAGACCTCGATGTTGTGTTTCCTCTTCTGGCTGGCCTTAATGTCTTTGATTTATCAGGTCTGCCATGGCTTTGTGCAAATGTCTTGGCTTGATAGCCATGCGGAAACGCAGCGAAAGGTACTTTCCGACGTTGTCACAACCAATAGTCTACGAGCCTCTGAGACATTGAGTCTATCCGGAGTCATGGCTTGCACAAAAAGAAAGCGGTTTGTGTGCTAGTGCCACTTCACCTCGTGGTCTGGCACGCTGGAAAAGTGAATCAACGCACTTCGCCACGCGAGAACGGGTCATGCACCTTGTGCTACTCCCAAGTGTAATCATCATCATCATCGTTGAGGCGGAAGTAACTTCTTGGCCCCAACCTGACCGAACCCCTGCTCTTGATTCGAGCTGGGGAGATCACAGGACTTTGACACTTGAGGCAACAGAATAGCCCCCTATCGGGCATCGTGGTTGGCCCAAGATAGCCTTTCAAGCCACGGATTTGCATTCGTCCTCCTGGCCGTTGAAAGTAGAGTTTGATGATACCAAATTCTGCTAGTGCCGAAGCCGGCCCCTTTTGGGTCAAAGCCCTACCCGAGGTGGGCTGGCTTTATTCAACAAATAACACCTTTGGGCAGTTAGACAAGAGAGAAGTCTACCGGTGTTACATAGCTTTGGGTCTCTTAATCCGATGCAACCTGTGTTCACCGCTGTCGGCCGAGTCCTAGCATGCCGGCGTATCCGGAGACTCCGAGGGGAGGGAGCGCGGAAAGGATTCCTAATGGGCCGCAGAACCTGCTAAATTAGTCAATACTTGCCTCATGTACCTGGCGGTCTACATGCAACAGGCGATCTTGCGCCTAAAAGAAATAACAAGGCCCACGGCCACTGAAGCAGGTGCCTGTAGCAAGGCGCGGTTTGTACGTCCTTTACCGCATCTGTTAGACCACACTTAGGAAGCCAGCCACACGCGTGCATCTCAGGTAAGCCACTTTTTGTAACCTTTCTCCCCGAGGCCACGGTATGGCCGGCAACCCACATTGCGGCGAGCCTTACGACGTCTCAAGTCTCAATGAGGATCCCGATGTACAACTGCCGGACGCTGAAGAGCTTTTGGGCACTTGAAATCACTGAAAGATCTCGTTGAAAATCTGGACATGGAAGACGGAATGATTCGATAGGATAGTCGTCGTTGGAATATTTGTATTGTAGGGGTCTAAGTCATCCTAGGCTCCCTTTGTCCCTTCTAGAGAGTTTCTCAGAGTTACGTCAATAATTAACAGAAGAAGAAGAAGAAGAAAAAGAAGAAGAAACCGGAAATATATTCAGACGCCCATATCGAATTTCATTGTGTAAGGTCATCCAAAGTCTGATCTGCCGTTTCAACTGCCTACTATCAAACTCCGCAAGTAGAGGAACCTAAACCCTGATAACTACACAAATATGGGGGGGGGGGGTTGCCCTCAAAGAAAAGGTTGACTGCGAAATTCGAAGAAATGACTCTCGTTATATTGTCCAGAAGTCCACTGATAAGTCGAGAAGATGGGATATGTGCACTTGGCTAATGAGTCGATAGTATAGCGTAGCCAAGAAATCAACTGGAAACTGGGACAATCGCAAAATTGTAAAGCCGAATGCAAGTACCTGCGCCAGCATGGGTCGAATTAATGTCTAATGTGTGTATCTGAAATTACTGTAATATGATATGTATAATCTCGGCCTACAGATAGGTATATGCAAACTGAGAATCTAGTCAGCGATCCCTTCTGTGCTAACTCCTAAATATCGGTCTCCTGAATCCAAGTGTCAGAGGCAGGGATAGTATCAAGTAAAGGAGTCAGTAATAGGCGTAGTTAGGGTTTAATTATAATAATTATTCTAATATACCTCCTCTAACCTCTATCTTCTATAGAGTTTTCCCCTTTTGTTATTCCTTTAGTGACTAGTTTATTTAGTCCTAGTCCTACTTTAGTGCCCCCTTAGGGCCCTGCTTTAGGCACCTAATATAATCCCCCCCCTCTAAGGTCCTACCTTTAGGACCTTAAGCAGGCTATCTACTAGTAGCCCCCTTATTAGCTACTTAGACTATTTAATAGCTAAGTCTTATACTTAACTTTTAATCTCTTAGGGCCTTAAGTAGGCTACTTATTAGTAGTCCCTTTATTAGCTACTTAAACTATTTAATAGCTAAGCCTTATACCTTATACTTATCCTTTAGTATCTTAAAAGACGTCTAGAAATACTTATTAAGCCTAATAAGCTACTAGATAAGTAGTTATCTTTTTAGCTAACTATTTATTTTTAGCTTTACTTTTATATTATTACGTTTTAGCTAAGCTTTAACTACTACTTTTTTAGTATAGTTTAGTCTTTTAGCTTAAAGTATAAGTCTTATATTATCTTACTTAGTAAAAAACTACTTATTTTATAATAAGGACACTTTATTTACTTATAATACTTTTTAATACTTTTTATTAACTAGGCCTTATAGTACTTCCTTAAGTATTATATATCTTTTATTATTTTTATTATTATAATATTTAGCTTTTTTATTAACTATTTATTAAGCCTTAAGTTATATTACTTTTATAATAAAAAAGAATTTTTATTTTACTTTTTATAATTAGTATTAATAACTTTTTAGTTTTAGCTAGCTTTTCTTATTAAGGCTTATTTAGTTTTAACTTTATAAGCTTAAGTTATTATTATAACTAGAATTCTTTTTAATACTAACTTAAAATAAGTAATTTAAATTAACTTAGGTTTTTATTAATTTCTTTATTACTTATTTTTTTTATAATACTTTTATATTATTATTTTTTATTACTACTATTACTACTACTACTTAGTAGTAATAGTAATAGTAATAGCACTAGTAATAGTACTAATACTACTAGCTTTTTTACTATTACTATTATATTTACTACTATATCTACTAATACTACTAATACTACTAATATTACTACTTTTACTACCTTTAAGGGCACTAAAGGCCTTATTATTACCCCCTTATTACCTCTTTAGTCTATTAGCTTTTTAAATAAAAAAGATAAAAATAACTATACTATAGTTTATTTTATTTTATACTACTACTACCTTTAAGCTATATTTCTTTAGTATATAAATATAGCTAACACTAAGGCTAAGTTTCCTTATTACCTTAAGACTACTAGTAAGTATTTAATACCTTAGTGCCTCTTAAGAGCCTTTTTTTACTTATATCTTAGTCCTAATTATACTATTAGCTACTAGAAATAAGTACTCTTAGTATATTAAGATATATAATAAAAAGTATATTTATATAAGTATTTTTATATTTTTTTTTTATTAGTAAGAGGTACTTTAGTAACCCCTTACTAACTTCTTATAGGCTACTTATATTATAACTTTTACTACTTTTACTTTTAAGAATATCTTTAAGGCCTTTTACTATAATAACACTATATATACTAACTACTACTACTATAAAGTATATCTTTTTTAGTACCTTATAACTACCTCTTAATTAACTTTTTATATAAAAAAAAGTTACTACTACTTAAACTATAGTTAAAAAAGCCTTTAAAAAAAAGTAAATACTACTAAGGCCCTTAACACTAAGTATAAGGCTAAGGCTAAAAAAAAAGTAGCTTTTTTATAGCTATAAGGTTATAGCCCTTAAGGCTTTTACTACTACTACTACCTCTCTAGCTAAGTTAGCTAAGGTAGCTACTATAGCGCTTTAGTACTAAAATATACTTCTTAAGAAGCAGACTAAGGCTATTAAGGCCTAAGGTACTTTTTTTTTTAAGTAAGCTACTACTTACTTTTAAGTTATATATAATTTTTTTTTAGTAACTTTTTACTACTTTTTAGTTACTAACTTTTATTTTAGTATACTACTAATCTTAACTTTTAGTTTAAAAGTAATATAGCCTTTAGTGTACTTAGTAAAAGTAAAAATAAAAAGGAGAAGTAAGTACTACTACCCTCTTAGTGCCTCTCTCTCTCCCTTAGGCCTTCTCTTAGTTTTATTTTCTTTTTCTTAGCTACTATAGACTTTAAATACCTAGCCTTTAGGCTATATACTTCTTAGCCTTAGTGCTAAAAAATAA